CGGGGCAAAAGGGTTTCCCCCACAGCCACATGCAGGACGTGTCCCCCGGCCGCGCGGGGCAGGTCGGGTCCCCGCGCTGGCTCCCGGCTCCGCAGCGCCCGGCGCGGAGTCCCGGCCCCTCCGTGCGCCGCCTAAGACCGCGCCGCTCTCGCCGCCGGCGCTTTAGCGGGGCTGATCCCCCCGGACGCCACCTTGTACTTCGACGTCGTCCTGCTGGACATCTGGAACAAGAAGGACCAGCTGCAGATCACCACCCTGTCCAAGCCCGAGCGCTGCAACCGCACCGTGGAGAGCTCCGACTTCGTGCGGTACCACTACAACGGCACCCTGCTCGACGGCACCCCCTTCGACTCCAGGTATGGGGCACATGGGCTGCAATGCACCCCTTGGCATGGGGCATAGGGTGCCGGGGCTGCAATGCACCCTTCAGCCCCAGGTATGGGGCAGGGGGGCTGCAATGCACCCCTTGGCATGGGGCATAGGGTGCTGGGGCTGCAATGCACCCTTCAGCTCCAGGTATGGGGCAGCGGGGCTGCAATGCACCCCTTGGCATGGGGCATAGGGTGCTGGGGCTGCAATGCACCCTTCAGCTCCAGGTATGGGGCAGGGGGGCTGCAATGCACCCTCTGATGGGGTGGTACAGGGTGCTGGGGCTGCAATGCACCCTTCAATGTGGGGTTTTGGGGGCCGGGGTTGGGATGCATCCTCCCGTGGGGCGTACGGGCACCCCCATCCCTCAGTCCCCCCCAGCTACAGCAAGCAGAGCACCTACGACACGTACGTGGGCACGGGCTGGCTCATCAAGGGCATGGACCAGGGGCTGCTGGGCATGTGCGCCGGGGAGAAGCGGAGCATCGTCATCCCCCCGTTCCTGCTGGAGCACCTGGAGGTGCCGGCGGCGTGCGGGCGCCGGGCCGTGACGGGAGACTTTGTCCGCTACCACTACAACGGCACCCTCATGGACGGCACCCTCTTCGACTCCAGGCACGGAACGGGCCGAGGGGGCGGCGGGGACACGGGGCAGGAGCGAGCGCCGAGCGCTCGGGATGCCCATCCCTGCTCGCTGCATCCTTCGGGAAAGGGCAGGGCCGGGATGCGGGGAGGGCGCCAAGTCCCCGGGCTTGTCTCGCCGCAGCTATTCCCGCAATCACACGTACGACACCTACATCGGCAAGGGCTACATCATCCCCGGCATGGACCAGGGCCTGCAAGGCGTCTGCGTGGGCGAGAGGCGCCGCGTCGTGGTGCCCCCGCACCTGGCCTATGGGGAGAGCGGCGCAGGTAGGGCCTGGGCGGCGACAGGGAGCGGGGACAGCGGGGACAGCGGGGACAGCGCCCCGCGCTCCCGGGACGGCCGCGCCGGCTCCCCCAGCGCCTCCGCCCGCTCCCGTCCCAGGGGACAAAATCCCCGGCTCGGCCGTGCTCATCTTTCACCCGTGCTCATCTTCGACGTCCACGTCATCGACTTCCACAACCCCGAGGACCCCGTGGAGATCAAGACCGTGCACCGGCCTGAAGGCTGCAACGTCACCAGCCGCCCGCGCGACTTCGTGCGCTACCACTACAACTGCTCGCTGCTGGACGGCACCCGCCTCTTCTCCTCGTGAGCGCTGGGGCCGCGTGCGCTGCCAGGGCAGAGCCCGGGCATGCATTGGCCTTTGGCAAAGGCGTCGGGCACGGGCCATGGGCAGGAGGGTTTGCATGGGGTGAGGTCTTGCACCGGGATAGCAGGGTTTGCATGGGACCGGCGGGGTCCTGCCTTGGGGGAGCGGGGTTTGCATGGGACCGCTGGGGTCCTGCTTTGGGGTAGCAGGGTTTGCATGGGACCGCCGGGATCCTGCATTGGGGTAGCAGGGTTTGCATGGGACCGGCGCGGTCCTGCTTTGGGGTAGCAGGGTTTGCATGGGACCGGCGGGGTCCTGCATTGGGATAGCAGGGTTTGCATGGGACTGGCGCGGTCCTGCTTTGGGGTAATGGGGTTTGCATGGGACCGGCGGGTCCTGC